CCTCTTCAATTTTTTGGTCACTTGTGTTCCAAGCTTAAAATTGGCATTGGAACTCTTCGGTCTACCACGATGTTATGGCCCTCTCGGGACGCAACGGGGTTCTTACTCCGATGTTATTAGAGGAAGTAGTATCCGGCCCCAAGCCAGTAGTGGCTTTCAAGGGATGTGATCCGTGACGTAAGAAACGTAAAGGGGGAAGGGAAAGAAAGTTAAGAACTTAAGATTATAATTACCATCACCAATAAATAATATATAAAAAGAGTACACAAGGCGGAGGGGTATTAACACTATACAGGGGAATTATTCACACAATTGTCTTCTCCTGAAGACTCTGGATCCACGCTCTCGGTGCTAGGTCCTCGGTGCTTTCGTGGTCTCTAGACGAATCCTTCGACCAAGCTGAGTCTACCCCAAACACAGGCCAGCCAAAACACGGGTCCACTGGGGGCACCGCCGTGGAGGCCGTCAACCACAAGTCCAGCAGGTCTGCTGGCAGGTTCCGGATCAGCAACGCTGGTCAGGCCACTCCACCTGCGATACTAAGGTAGCGCCCTAGTCAGGAGCCTCGTGTGATACCACAAATCACTCTCCTGTCCTCAAAACCCCAGTGGATAACCGTCTCCAGCAGTCGGTCCCAGGTAAGACAATCCTTCTACTGCCACTACACTGGCAGGGTAACACACCACAGTGTTCTTCCTGGAGACGACTTCACAGCTGCTGCAGCAAGGCACAAGGTAAGGGGACGGCTGCCTCGGGTAGACTGACTCAACTTCCATCACAGCAGTCCCAGGTCGACTCTGTAAGCAGACACGTCATCAATAACTGGGACACACCAAGGCCCCTCACTTACAGGCTCAGACACAAACGCCCACCTATCCACTCCATAGATGGCGCTGGTGTCTGAGCACCACCTCACCAGAGGTCAGCAGCGGCTGTGTTGAGCGCTGAACCGGACTGGAAACTGGCCCTCGAGGCCAGTACACGTCGTCCTCACCAGGTGTCGTCGTCCGTTTGGAGGGGGTTTCGGGAGCTGACCCACAGATGGCGCGGTCGTCACTGCTCCGTGCTCGGACGCTGGATCCGGGTTCGTAACACACGACGGTCTACCACGACGTCTACGGGCTCACCATAGCCCGTGTTACTTGGAACTTTTTGTTCCAGGTAGCGAATCTTTAACAACAACAACATACCACGACGGTTTTTGCATTGAGGACGGATGGGGATCAAGTTGTCAGCTCTGGGGAAATTATTTATTGCCCTAGTGACTGATGAGGCTAGTGACTTGCCTCCTCTTGCAGGTACGCCTAAGAAAATATTGCCAAATAGGAGCAAATTATGCCATGCTTTGATGGTGGCCGCGGCATTAAGATTTTCAGACCGTTCATTCCCTTTTCTTAGAAGGTCTGTATATTTCCCTGCTGCAAATGGGCGCGCTGTTTTAGGAATGTGGGGAAGAGTTCTGGTGGGGGATGCTTTGATGACCCCCAGGAGGTCATCTGATGACATGAAGTTTGCTGGGATGTGTGGGGGTGCCGGGGGGACCTGTGGGCATTCTCTCTCTACAGGTTCCGTCCATGCACCCGCACAGCCGTTGTGTCTGTATATGGTTCCATCGTTTCTAAGGCTGTGAGATTCGTCACAAACCCGACACTTTTCTTTGGGTATGGGTGCCCCTCTGGGTGCGCCTCAGGGTGCATTGGTCCCAGGACCGCGTTCTTGGCTGAGGGGTTCCTGGTTAGTTGGGGGAGTCCCCCTCCATCCTCGGGCAAGCTGAGACATCGGCGTGGCGTGGGAGGGTGGACACGGGTGGTGGCGGCAGGGGTAGTTGGCTGTCCCTCGCACTGACCACTCATGTGAGTACTTGTGTCTCCCTCCCTTTTGGGAGGAACCTGAATGCCTGCTGTGACCTGTGCCATATCTGGGTGCATGGAGGGTAACACATCTCTGCAACAAGCACTGTGTGGGCGGTGAATAGGTGGGTGGGAAACGCCCAGGCGCAGGATGGGCGGGGTGGGATGGCAAAAGGTACAGCGGTGCGATGAGGCCGGCGGGCAGGGAATAGCGGGCGGGGAGGGGGGTTGACAGGGCACCGCTCGGCTTGTAGGGGGGGAGGGGGGGTTAGGGGGGGAAGGGCGACACTTAAACACTGGTACAATTTCCTTGTATATCACTGCACTTCGGTGAATGAATCATACACTTATAGTCTGACACACTGTGAGCTCCATTAACACTAAACAAGATTGCTAATTTTTGTTTTTCTTTCCCAAATATATTTCTATAAACACTGGGTGGCACATGGGTGACCCCTTCCCCCTCGCCTGACCGCACAACAACACCCCCTCCCCCCACACCTTCACTGTGGGAGGCCTACAGGGCGCCGGCGTGGCCCTCACTGCCCTTATATTCCACATTGTAAATTCCCCTGCTTGATCCGTTTTTTGTTGCGATGGTCCACTCTAGGCACTTCCCGTCCACTCTTGCACCTTCCTAGGATATACACACAGCACCTTGTGCAGGCTAGGCTCGGTGATGTCAGGATGTCACTAGGTCACCTGGTGGTCTGTGTGTCTCAGGGCACCTGGTAGGTTGTGCGTCTCAGGGCACCTGGTGGGTTGTGGGTCTCAAGGCGCCTGGTGGGCTGAGTGTCACAGGGCACCTGGTGGGCTGTGTGTCTCAGGGCACCTGGTGGGCTGTGTGTCTCAGGGCACCAGGTGGGCAGAGTGTCTCAGGCCACCTGGTGGGTTGTGGGTCTCAAGGCGCCTGGTGGGCTGAGTGTCACAGGGCACCTGGTGGGCTGTGGGTCTCAGGGCGCCTGGTGAGCTGAGTGTCACAGGGCACCTGGTGGGCTGTGGGTCTCAGGGCACCTGGTGGGCTGAGTGTCACAAGGCACCTGGTGGGCTGTGGGTCTCAGGGCACCTGGTGAGCTGAGTGTCACAGGGCACCTGGTGGGCTGAGTGTCTCAGGGCACCTGGTAGGCTGTGTGTCTCAGGGCACCTGGTGGGCTGAGGGTCTCAGGGCACCTGATGAGCTGAGTGTCTCAGGGCACCTGGTGGGCTGAGTGTCACAGGGCACCTGGTGGACTGTCTCAGGGCACCTGGTGAGCAGTGTGTCTCAGGGCACCTGGTGGGCTGTGTGTCTCAGGGCACCTGGTGGGCTGTGTGTCTCAGGGCACCTGGTGGGCTGTGTGTCTCAGGGCACCTGGTGGGGGGAGTGTCACAGGGCACCTGGTGGACTGTCTCAGGGCACCTGGTGGACTGTCTCAGGGAACCTGGTGGACTGTCTCAGGGCTCCTGGTGGGCTGAATGTCACAGGGCACCTGGTGGGCTGTGTGTCTCAGGGCACCTGGTGGGCTGTGTGTCTCAGGGCACCTGGTGGGGGGAGTGTCTCAGGGCACCTGGTGGGTTGTGGGTCTCAAGGCGCCTGGTGGGCTGAGTGTCACAGGGCACCTGGTGGGCTGTGGGTCTCAGGGCGCCTGGTGGGCTGAGTGTCACAAGGCACCTGGTGGGCTGTGGGTATCAGGGCACCTGGTGAGCTGAGTGTCACAGGGCACCTGGTGAGCTGAGTGTCTCAGGGCACCTGGTGGGCTGAGGGTCTCAGGGCACCTGGTGGGCTGAGTGTCACAGGGCACCTGGTGGACTGTCTCAGGGCACCTGGTGGACTGTCTCAGGGCACCTGGTGGGCTGAATGTCACAGGGCACCTGGTGGGCTGAGTGTCACACGGCACCTGGTGGGCTGAGTGTCACAGAGCACCTGGTGGGCTGTGTGTCACAGGGCACCTGGTGGGCTGTGTGTCACAGGGCACCTGGTGGGCTGAGTGTCACAGAGCACCTGGTGGGCTGTGTGTCACAGGGCACCTGGTGGGCTGTGTGTCACAGGGCACCTGGTGGGCTGAGTGTCACAGAGCACCTGGTGGGCTGAGTGTCTCAGGGCACCTGGTGGGCTGAGTGTCTCAGGGCACCTGGTGGGCTGTGTGTCTCAGGGCACCTGGTGGGCTGAGTGTCACAGGGCACCTGGTGGGCTGAGTGTCACACGGCACCTGGTGGACTGAGTGTCTCAGGGCACCTGGTGGGCTGAGTGTCACACGGCACCTGGTGGACTGAGTGTCTCAGGGCACCTGGTGGGTGGTGTGTCTCAGGGCACCTGGTGGGTGGTGTGTCTCAGGGCACCTGGTGGATGGTGTGTCTCAGGGCACCTGGTGGGTGGTGTGTCTCAGGGCACCTGGTGGGTGGTGTGTCTCAGGGCACCTGGTGGGTGGTGTGTCTCAGGGCACCTGGTGGGTGGTGTGTCTCAGGGCACCTAGTGGACTGTCTCAGGGCACCTGGTGGACTGTCTCAGGGCACCTGGTGGGCTGAGTGTCACAGAGCACCTGGTGGGCTGAGTGTCTCAGGGCACCTGGTGGGCCGTAGTGAAGACACCCCACACAAGAAGTGGGTCACGTGGTTCACTGCAGGCAGGAAGGCAGCCTGACAAGATGTAGGTCGGAGGCTCCCTGACCCCTGGCTGATATAATCAATAAGACCACTGACAATGTATTTATCCTGGAGGTCCTAATGAGCATTGTCCGAGGTCACGGAATCTTATTTTTAAACTATAGTTTATATATAATGATCATCTATAATAAAATGAAAACTTTTGATTTAAGGAAAAAGTGTGATATTAACAGTTTTAATCTCCTCAATTATTAAATTTGATTGAATGCAATTGTCTGTTAATAGAACTTTCAGTTCACAGTTAACCTTCGTGTTAGCGGGTCATCGGTGCACGGGGGCCCTCGGTGCACGGGGGCCCTCGTTGCACGGGGGCCCTCGATGCACGGGGGCCCTCGATGCACGGGGGCCCTCGATGCACGGGGGCCCTCGATGCACGGGGGCCGTCGGTGCACGGGGACACTGGGTGCACGGGGGCCCTCGGTGCTCAGGGGTTTTCGCAGTGCATGGAGTTAAAAGGTTTTAGAAATATTATCAATATTAAACACCCATATGCCATTGTAACCGAGTCTTTCACAGAGTAAAATATGGCGTGTGATTATCTTGGACCTGGAAGATGGTGCGGGTGGAGGAAGCCTGGGTCATGGTGCGGGTGGGGGAAGCCCGGGTCATGGTGCGGGTGGAGGAAGCCTGGGTCATGGTGCGGGTGGGGGAAGCCTGGGTCATGGTGCGGGTGGAGGAAGCCCGGGTCATGGTGCGGGTGGAGGAAGCCTGGGTCATGGTGCGGGTGGGGGAAGCCCGGGTCATGGTGCGGGTGGAGGAAGCCTGGGTCATGGTGCGGGTGGGGGAAGCCTGGGTCATGGTGCGGGTGGAGGAAGCCCGGGTCATGGTGCGGGTGGAGGAAGCCTGGGTCATGGTGCGGGTGGGGGAAGCCTGGGTCATGGTGCGGGTGGAGGAAGCCTGGGTCATTGTGCGGATGGGGGAAGCCTGGGTCATGGTGCGGGTGGAGGAAGCCTGGGTCATGGTGCGGGTGGAGGAAGCCCGGGTCATGGTGCGGGTGGGGAAGCCCGGGTCATGGTGCGGGTGGGGGAAGCCCGGGTCATGGTGCGGGTGGGGGAAGCCCGGGTCATGGTGCGGGTGGGGGAAGCCTGGGTCATGGTGCGGGTGGAGGAAGCCTGGGTCATGGTGCGGGTGGGGGAAGCCTGGGTCATGGTGCGGGTGGAGGAAGCCTGGGTCATGGTGCGGGTGGAGGAAGCCCGGGTCATGGTGCGGGTGGAGGAAGCCCGGGTCATGGTGCGGGTGGAGGAAGCCCGGGTCATGGTGCGGGTGGGGGAAGCCCGGGTCATGGTGCGGGTGGGGGAAGCCCGGGTCATGGTGCGGGTGGGGGAAGCCCGGGTCATGGTGCGGGTGGGGGAAGCCTGGGTCATGGTGCGGGTGGAGGAAGCCTGGGTCATGGTGCGGGTGGAGGAAGCCCGGGTCATGGTGCGGGTGGGGGAAGCCTGGGTCATGGTGCGGGTGGAGGAAGCCTGGGTCATGGTGCGGGTGGGGGAAGCCAGGGTCATGGTGCGGGTGGAGGAAGCCTGGGTCATGGTGCGGGTGGAGGAAGCCCGGGTCATGGTGCGGGTGGAGGAAGCCTGGGTCATGGTGCGGGTGGAGGAAGCCTGGGTCATGGTGCGGGTGGAGGAAGCCTGGGTCATGGTGCGGGTGGAGGAAGCCCGGGTCATGGTGCGGGTGGAGGAAGCCTGGGTCATGGTGCGGGTGGGGGGAGCCTGGGTCATGGTGCGGGTGGAGGAAGCCCGGGTCATGGTGCGGGTGGAGGAAGCCTGGGTCATGGTGCGGGTGGAGGAAGCCTGGGTCATGGTGCGGGTGGGGGAAGCCTGGGTCATGGTGCGGGTGGGGGAAGCCTGGGTCATGGTGCGGGTGGAGGAAGCCTGGGTCATGGTGCGGGTGGGGGAAGCCAGGGTCATGGTGCGGGTGGAGGAAGCCTGGGTCATGGTGCGGGTGGAGGAAGCCTGGGTCATGGTGCGGGTGGAGGAAGCCTGGGTCATGGTGCGGGTGGAGGAAGCCTGGGTCATGGTGCGGGTGGGGGAAGCCAGGTTCATGGTGCGGGTGGAGGAAGCCTGGGTCATGGTGCGGGTGGAGGAAGCCTGGGTCATGGTGCGGGTGGAGGAAGCCTGGGTCATGGTGCGGGTGGAGGAAGCCTGGGTCATGGTGCGGGTGGAGGAAGCCTGGGTCATGGTGCGGGTGGGGGAAGCTAGGGTCATGGTGCGGGTGGGGGATGCCTGGGTCATGGTGCGGGTGGGGGAAGCCAGGGTCATGGTGCGGGTGGGGGAAGCCAGGGTCATGGTGCGGGTGGTGGATGCCTGGGTCATGGTGCGGGTGGGGGAAGCCAGGGTCATGGTGCGGGTGGGGGATGCCTGGGTCATGGTGCGGGTGGGGGAAGCCAGGGTCATGGTGCGGGTGGGGGAAGCCAGGGTCATGGTGCGGGTGGGGGAAGCCCGGGTCTTGGTGCGGGTGGAGGAAGCCTGGGTCATGGTGCGGGTGGAGGAGCCTGGGTCATGGTGCAGGTGGAGGAAGCCTGGGTCATGGTGCGGGTGGGGGAAGCCTGGGTCTTGGTGCGGGTGGAGGAAGCCTGGTCATGGTGCGGGTGGAGGAAGCCTGGGTCATGATGCAGGTGGAGGAAGCCTGGGTCATGGTGCGGGTGGAGGAAGCCTGGGTCATGGTGCGGGTGGAGGAAGCCTGGGTCATGGTGCGGGTGGAGGAAGCCTGGGTCATGGTGCGGGTGGGGGAAGCCTGGGTCATGGTGCGGGTTCGGTAAGTCTGGGTCATGGTGCATGTGGGGAAAGCCTGGGTCATTGTGAGGGTGGGGGAAGCCTGGGTCACTGTGCGGGTGGGGGAAGCCTGGGTCACGGTGCGGGTTGGGGAAGCCTGGGTCATGATGCGGGTGGGGGAAGCCCGGGTCATGGTGCGGGAGGGGGAAGCCTGGGTCATGGTGAGGGTGGGGGAAGCCCGCGTCATGGTGAGGGTTGGGGAATCCCGGGTCATGGTGCGGGTGGGGGAAGTCTGGGTCATGGTGCGGGTTGGGGAATCCTGGGTCATGGTGAGGGTGGGGGAAGCCCGGGTCATGGTGCGGGTGGGGGAAGCCTGGGTCATGATGCGGGTGAGGGAAGCCCGGGTCATGGTGCGGGTGGGGGAAGCCTGGGTCATGGTGCGGGTGGGGGAAGCCGGGGCCATGTTGCGGGTGGGGGAAGCCTGGGTCATGGTGCGGGTGGGGGAAGCCTGGGCCATGATGCGGGTGGGGGAAGCCTGGGCCATGATGCGGGTGGGGGAAGCCCGGGTCATGATGCGGGTGGGGGAAGCCTGGGTCATGGTGCGGGTGGGGGAAGCCTGGGTCATGGTGCGGGTGGAGGAAGCCTGGGTCATGGTGCGGGTGGGGGAAGCCTGGGCCATGATGCGGGTGGGGGAAGCCTGGGTCAAGATGCGGGTGGGGGAAGCCTGGGCCATGATGCGGGTGGGGGAAGCCTGGGCCATGATGCGGGTGGGGGAAGCCCGGGTCATGGTGCGGGTGGGGGAAGCCCGGGTCATGGTGCGGGTGGGGGAAGCCTGGGCCATGATGCGGGTGGGGGAAGCCTGGGTCATTGTGAGGGTGGGGGAAGCCGGGGTCATGGTGCGGGTGGGGGAAGCCTGGGTCATGGTGCGGGTGGGGGAAGCCTGGGTCATGGTGCGGGTGGGGGAAGCCTGGGTCATGATGCGGGTGGGGGAAGCCCGGGTCATGGTGCGGGTGGGGGAAGCCCGGGTCATGGTGCGGGTGGAGGAAGCCCGGGTCATGGTGCGGGTGGGGGAAGCCCGGGTCATGGTGCGGGTGGGGGAAGCCCGGGTCATGGTGCGGGTGGGGGAAGCTGGAGGCCCGCGGGGGTGGTTAGGGAAGAGCGAACAACAATCTTGGAGAAGTATGAGAACAATCGAAGAGGCACATGCAGTTATTTCACGGCTTCATGAGAGAATAAGCAGGGGGAAGATTGGGGGACACAGGGAATGGAGCCTAGCGGGTGAAGGAAGAGATAGAGGAAGTAAAGGGAAAGAGTGGATAATGCCTCTGAGCGACCAGGGAAGGAACGGATGAGAGCAAAGGGCAAAACGAAGTGAGGTATTTCTCACTGAACATTTTAATATGTCTCATGTTAATACACATGTCATTAAACACAAAAGTGTTGTGACTATTATTAATTTTCTTTTTGATATGTACATTCTACACAATACTTTCTACCATCTGGAGGGTGAAGAAACACTAGATCACCTAATCTTTTCATTTTTATTGTTCGACGTTTCGTCAACAATGTGACACCCTCAAGACGGTCACCCTGAATTGACACAGGTATACTGAATTTACATGGATATTGTTGTTGTTGTTGTTGTTTTAGATTCAGCTACTGGAACAAAATATCCAGGTAGCATGGGCTATGTTGAGCCTGTAACTGGAGGCGCTTTGGAGCCATTACCACTATCAATAGCTGATACTGGGGATGTGGGGATATGGTCTGTGGACAAGCCAATCCAATCCAAGTAAGTCTAGTGTGTCTAGGGAGAGATGTCCGGGTGTTACAAGAGGATTTGTTTCCTAATCCCTGTTCCCCGATGGGGTTGTCAGGTCGAATTTCCTTCACCAAGGTGTCGTAGTCGCAAAGGTGGTCGAGGCGTTCTTAAGGGACGTCCATGCGAAGAATCCGTCATGCTTCCCTACACTTGTTTTCCCAGTAGACGTGGATTATGGAGTTACGCTGTGTCTTTGGAAAGAGCGCGATAACATCGGATATACCCAGAGGAGGTAGCATGGGAGCCTGTCAGTCTAGTTGGTGCTGGTGCAGGATCAGAAGGAGAAGATGGTGCCCGGCGGCCGCATAAGGGGCAGGAGAGCTGATGAAGTCAACTGAAGAATCATAGTCGGTCGAGTCACCGTGGTCGGCTTCCTTGGTTTCGTTTTCGAAGTCGGCCTCGTCGTCTTGGTAGGCTGTTCTGCTGCGATTCCTGTCAGGGGGACATGCACGGGGACTGCGGAGTCCCTGTAGCCAGACGGTGAGGGTTCTCTGGGGGATCGGCTCAGGGGTCTCCGGGGCAGAGGGTCCGGTAGCAGTTGTGGAACCTGGAAGGTCATCAGGTACAGCAGCTGCTGAAAGTCCGTTCGCAACGAGCAGCTTGTTGGTGACGTGGATGTAATGGGAAATGTCGTTGCCCGCCATTTTGTCAGCGATGTAAAGGAGGACGGATAAAATGGTGATTTTGGTGGAGGCTGCAGGCTGGGCCGGTGGTGGTGAGGTCAGAGGGTGGGGCAGTCAGCTAGGTGCGGCATCCCCAGGGGCCGGGCGGTGGTGAGAGAGTCACTGTGTTTACGGGGTTTCGGAGTAAGATCGGGAATTTGGACAGGAGGGGGTTTGCTGGTCGAGGTATGGTGGTGGTGGAGGAAGCGATAGCCGTCATCGTTTGGATTGCCACCTGCCAGAGGAGACAGTCAGGTGAGACCGCAGAATGTGTGCCATTGCAGAACAGGCAGCATTGGGGTGAGGATGTGCAGTCAATATTGTGGTGCTTCTGGGCGTAGAACTCTGCGCTCGCTCGGTGCACTCTCTGGTGTAGTGAGAGTACTGGTAGCACTTGAAGCACTGCCGTAGCTCCGTGAAGCATTCCTTGGTCACTTAGATTGGTGGTATTGTAATACATGGTTGTTGTTGTTGTTTTAGATTTAGCTACTCAGAACGAAATGTCCATATAGCACAGGATATAGTGAGCGTGTAACCGAGTTCGTTTTTTGTGATAACCTTGTTACTGTGATATTTGGGTCAAAGTTTAAAATGGAGGTGAGGTTTCTTCCTTATCTCCTGTTTCTTTGCCACTTCTCTTTTAGCACACTATTTTTATTCTTGTTTTAATAACATTATCTTGGTGGCAGATATAGATTCTGTTACTGTATAAGCACCGTTGCTGGAGTGGCGATTTCGACATCTTCTATGGACCTGCATTCCAATTCCAAGGCATTTGGTGAGAGACAGACAATGCCATCTGTTGACGGAGGTGTGGTGTCTGTAAAAAACTCCTGTTTCATACCTCAGTTAGGAGGTGAGGTCGATGTTGAGAATCTCTGGTGGGTGGCTTAACAATATTAAGACCATCTAGGTTGTGCATTTGATTACAATTTTAATTCCCCGATGAAAGTGAAAGTGCTTAGGGTGCCATCCTAAGTTCACCCAGTAAACTGTCGGTCTGGTTAATGAACTTTATGTTCACAGAGATCACGTGATGAGGCGATTACGCTGTGGAAATCAGTTCATCTTGGGGAGTCCAGAACTCCTGACTTGGTCCTGTGAGAGGACAAAGTGGCTGCCGTCGGTAGTAACGGTGTGTTAGCTGCTTGACTTGTGTAGTGTTGTATGGACCGACGTTCCCGGGATTTGGCCAAGAGGAGTTACGAGACGACAGTAGTATTCGTCTGCTGAGAAGTGCTGCTAGTGGGTTTCTAGAGACTTCTGCCAGGGTGTTAGCTACCCCTGTATGTGATTATTTGAGACCCCTGTCAGCTTGTTACTGAAGCCCTCAGCTAGTGTGTTTCTGGAGAGCAGATGTGAGGATTGGGACATCATGACGATACGGTGTTTGGACTGGCCCATGTTGAGGAAGGAGAACTCGCCGGTGATTACCATTAAGCTATTGAGTGTACTGGGTGAAAACGACACAGCGTACATATGTGTAGTTATACTTTTATAAATTATATATTGGTGAAGGTTTAATTGCGTATTGTTTTCCTCTATTTATTGCACTGTTACTTGCTACTGTCAATTCTTGAGAACCTACTGTTGTCTTGGTGTAGGATCATAGAAGAAGAGGTTTTAAGACACGTTAACAGAAAGAACCCGGTTACTAGTGCAAGCTGGCAGTAACGATGCACAGTGTTTACTAGTGTGTCCCATTCTTCAACTGCTGTTTTCTAAAAGAGCAGCTGCATTAGATGCAAAATCCACAGCGACTACAATGGTTAGAATAGCAGATGACACAAGCATTAACAAAAACAAACAAAAAACACAGGTGAAAAACGTTTTAGAAGGAGAACTTTGTATCAATGTTCAAAGTTTCTTGTATAAAAAACTTTTATACAAGGAAAAAACTAGACATTTAGGTGTGGGTACACCTCACTCTACAATTTACCTAATCTTAATTGTCAGGAGTGCCGATGGATAAGGTGAAGTGATTGTTGCCTGACTCTGGATTCATGTTGTCCGCCAGGTCTTTTATCTTCCCTCTGGATCAATGGAGGACCATCGAACAGCTGTATGCTCGAAGTCGAAATCATCTGGATATTGATTAATCGTGTCAGCTCCCGAATGAACACAGCCTTAAGCGTAAGAAGCCTCCTACGATCGTCGGTGTGTGTGATTATTTTGGTGTCTTTCACTTTGTCTTGGCGTTTCAGGATGCCATAACCCACTGTCGAAAAGACAAGGAAACTTAAACTGTATATTTCGATCCCAACCCAGGATCCTCTTCAGCAGTGAGCGCGAATAACGATGTTGTTGTTGTTTTAGATTCAGCTACTCGCAACAAAAGTTTCAAGTAGCACGGGCTATGGTGAGCCCGTAGTGGACTTACGTGGCATAGGAGGGGGCTGTAACTGATGCGAGAATAACGGCATTAACGGCTTTTATAGTGTCACTTCAGGTGTCCTTGGGAGAGGTGCATGCATTGAGTAATAATCTCCTTGTTACATTATCGCTCACCAAATCTGGTGATCAATGTCCTGAGATGTTAAAATTTAGAATATTGTTTATAAAAGCACATTCTAGTATTTTTATTTTGAAGCCAAAGTATTGGGGATAAATTAAACAAAAGTTATCCCATATAATTTTGTGATCGGTCTCATATTCATGTTTATGTAAAGATTAGCTTTCTTGGCCATATATTTGGTCGGTAATGTGGGATTTTAGATCCCTGTCTGTTTGGTCATTATAAACTGTATAACAATCATTTTGTGGAATGTTATAGACTCCAGTGCTCACAGCCATATCTTTCCTCTGATAGACGTTTACTAATTCAATTCCGACATATTAAATAATTTACTTTTATTTATTTTATACCCAATATTTTGGCTTCAAAAGAAAAATAATAGAATCTTCTTTTATAAACAGTAATCCATATTTTAAAATCTTCTCAGGGCAGTGGTTACCAGACTTGGTGAGCGATTATGCAACAAGGAGATTACATAATCGCTGCTGCGTACATCTCTTCCCTCCCCTAGTTGTTATCTATTCCCTACATTTCAGTTTGGAAATCCTTGAAAATCATTTCAAACTGAAATCTTGGATTTCAGTTTGGTTGTCCAAATTTGGAGGTCATTGGCCAATTTAGCAAGGTGACTAACTAGTTGTACTGAAACTGTCATACGTAAGTCGGGGTTCCTCTTATTGCTTCTCTTCATGAGGAGTTGGTTCATATTACAACCTTCATTAAAAATATAACATGAAAATACGTGTTCCATTGATAGATTTACATTCCGTGGGGCTCCCAACCTTGGATGGCAATTTTGCTTCATTTGTGTATCATAAGTAGTTCATAGAATACCAAGCCCATTTTTATATTAGGGTTACATCAACTTCAAGCAAAACTAACATGGACACTGTAATTTGCGGTATTTGTTGATAGTGTGAAATTTACAGGCGTGTATGAACAAAGCTTTGGAAGTAACCACAGACAAAATCAAGTTTAATAATGCTTGACGACGTGACTTTGTGACTGGCCCACCAGAACCCATCAATCGGTTTAAGAATGCTTCGTTTAGAAATTGCAGCATTATTGGCATGCAGAGTCGACTATTAAGGAAAGATGCAGGGTTGGTCTTAGCATGTTGAGTTCCCATGAAGCTAGCCATATTATTTTTTATGTGGGTTCATTACGACGGCTGTTGCATTTGTTAGTCGCGTTGATCACTTGCAGGCGGGCGTCTGGCACATGGTCGATGCAACACACTGCCTCTTGCGGAGAACTTTTTCATCCACTCCCAAATGTTAGGATTTTATGGTAGTTTCTGTTGATCCGGTTGTTAGTCCATTCGTCTATAACTTTGCTGAACCATGGTTTCAGACCTTATTTCTGATACCTACGTGACACAATTGGCCATCTCTCAACGATCGCCATTGCTTAGTTTCAGGGTCTGGAAATTAATATTGGAGCAAGAAAGAACTGATCAATAATAACGAAATGTTTTAGGAGTTAAAAATCGACTGGACAGACAGACGGAGTGCCCACATGACTAAGAAGTCTCGATTCATTTGTATAAAAATCTCGTAAATATACTTAAAGAACATCCTTGTATAAAAAGTATTATTTACATAATGTGAATATTCATATCAAATCTTTCGTTGCATCCATTGTCTCCCCTAACACCTTTTATTATTGTTATTTTTCGCCTCGTCAAACAACTTAGCGTAGCATTATACATAATATTTCCTAGCATTATATATAATATTTCCAAGCATTATACATAGTATTGTAAGCCACTTTACATAATATAACTTTTGAATCCTTAATTCCAGTATTATTGCTTGATGTAATAAATTTTTAAATTTCATTTGTTTCAGAATCTCTTTGTACTGCTGTTATTGTACTTTTCTTATCGTACTACTGTCATTGTACCGTCTCTTTCTACTGCTGATATTGTACCGTCCCATCGTTCTGCTGTTATGGTACCGTCTTTTCGTACTGCTGTTATTGAACCGTCTCTTTGTACTGCTGTTATTGAACCGTCTCTTTGTACTGCTGTTATGGAACCGTCTCTTTGTACTGCTGTTATTGTACCCTCTCTTCATACTGCTGTTATTGTACCGTCTCTTCATTCTGTTGTTATTGTATCTTCTCTTCGTACTGTTGCTATTGTACCGTCTCCTCATACTGCTGTTATCGCACCGTCTCTTCTTACTGCTGTTATTGTACCGTTTCTCTGTACTTTTGTTATTGTACCATCTCTTAATACTGCTGTTATTGTACCATCTCTTAGTACTGCTGTTATTGAACCATCTCTTAGTACTGCTGTTATTGAACCATCTCTTAGTACTGCTGTTATTGTACCATCTCTTAGTACTGCTGTTATTGAACCATCTCTTAGTACTGCTGTTATTGTACCATCTCTTAGTACTGCTGTTATTGAACCATCTCTTAGTACTGCTGTTATTGAACCATCTCTTAGTACTGCTGTTATTGTACCATCTCTTAGTACTGCTGTTATTGAACCATCTCTTAGTACTGCTGTTATTGAACCATCTCTTAATACTGCTGTTATTGTTATGTAACCTTCTGTTTAACGCTTGTAGTAAAGAGTAATATTATAATTATTATTATTACTTTTTATGAATAGAAAGTATAAAGAAATTGTTATATATGAATTGTGGATTGTTTGTTTCAGCTCCTATTAATTATTTACAATTCATTAACCTTTCCAAACAATCTGATCAGGTAAGTTTCCCACAAGGATGGAAACTTTGAAAAACCGTGTATATTAACGTGTATATTTAAATGGTAATCGTGTGGATATTTTGCGACCGGGACGCGGGGGTTGGGGGGTGGGGGGGAGGGGTGTCTGATGTTACCGCCCCATGGTGGCTGAAGAAGAGGCGGCATATCTGCTCTATTCACAGTCTTCTCCTCTGTGGCATCTTCACTACTATGGTTCTGGATGTTCAAGTTCACACATCACGACGTATCCTATACAACACAACATAAATACATAATGTATCTACCCTCCATGCAAATACATTATGTATTTCGAGGTCGAGGTCGAGGGAGGGGGTAGACGTACCGTGCGCGCTCCGTTAAAATCGTGACATTAACAGGGATTCGTAGGACTACTGCCGTGGATTACTGATTACAGACATAACAAAGTGCATAGTGACCGCTGGAAAATTGAAAATAGTCATTAACAATACAACTTTGTGTTAAATAGAGAATAAACGGGAGACCACGTGTGAGCCAGTGAACGAGGCTTTGTGTACATGCGTGTATTAGGATAAAAAAAACGAAACAAAAAAAATAGTGAACGGTGATTCGTGGAACAGTGATGTGGAACGGGTATCACAACAACATATAAGTTGGAAGTGAATATTATAAATATAGAACACTAGAAATATAGAACAGTGGCAAGAGGCGGCATCAGTGGTTATAAATCGGGTAACTGGAAACTGGTGACATCAACCTGGGCCACAAGAGGTCACCTGTACTGACCGGGGGACCAGCCTCGCTACCTACGCTAAGTACCTGCCATAAAGTTTGAACAAAATAACACACATAATATTACAAATATACGATATACATATAACATTATAATATTAAACATACAAATATATATACATATATATTGTTACAAATATACAATATACATATAATATTATAAATATATAGATATATACAACAAAACAAGGCAATATGGGAGTAAATAAACAAATTTGTGGCCACTGTAACAACTTCTTAAAGACGAAGGTAACGGGAATTGAATGTTATATCTGTAAGACTAGATTCCATTCGGCTTGTACAGGAGTAACACTACGGCACTGAGAGCTGGTCACTTGCTCTGGGTGTGTAAAAATGACCTGCCAGCTTGGAATATCCTAAAAAACCTTCTAGATAACATGACGCATGAACGGAAAACATCATTCATTGGAAGCCTACCAGCCATCCAGAAGGAGTGGGAAAGGAACAACAATTCTAATATACAAGGGGCGGAGGCTATAGTCAGGGATGAAACTGAGGCTGAAACTCAGGAAGATGCAAACTCTGACTCAGTAGGCCTGGATGTAGATGACATTAAACTAGAAAGTGTACCAGACAGCTCGATAGGTACAGACACCACGACGGTTCTCGATAGAGCAGTTCAGAACAGAAGGACAGACTTATGCAAATTTTATGCAAAAGGCATATGCAGACATAGATATGCTGGTAATAAGAAAGGATTAGAATGCAGTTACCAACATCCCAAAAAATGTTTAAATATGCTTAGGAAAGGTGAGTGTCGATTTGGATCAATATGTAGGTTTTTCCATCCTGACATGTGCCAAACCTCACTGGAGGACAAAAAATGCTATGACCTTAGCTGCCCACACTTTCACGTGAAAGGCACGGAACGCTACATAAAGAGTGGCAAGCAGGATAATGAATTTGGAGGAAACTCTATAAATTTTTTATACCAGACCGGCAGAGAATTCAAAAGGAGCAGCATGGAGAGTGTATGGAACTGGATGCCAGATCCACTGGCATTCCAGAATTACAGATACAATTACCCACCGAAAGGGAACTACAACTACGACAGAAAACTGCCCTACAACAATCAGTACTGGTCAGAACAAACTCATTATGTCCACGATTAATGGACGTGCCGAAAAAGTCTCCCATTCAAACTATCACTAATAGAGTAACCTCATTCATCTTTGCCAACATACAAGGACTGAAAACAAGAACAAACAACAAAGTACAGTTCATAAATGGCCTCCTCACGGAGTCAAATGCAGTATTTGGAGCTTTCACAGAAACCCATGCAGGGGAATTGTTGGACAGTGAGATCTGGATTCCAGGATATAACCTATACAGGTGTGATAGGAAAATTAGGTCACATGGAGGAGTGGGTCTGTATATTAGGGAAGACCTTGTATGCTCGGAGCTCCTAAACGTTACAAATGAGGTGGTAGAGGTACTGGGATTAAAAATAGAGAAAATAAATTTAGTGATTATACTAATATACAAACCGCCAGATGCAACGGCTGAGGAATTCACAGAACAGATAAGCAAAATAGAGAATAGCCTTGATAATTTGGAGAACCCGATACCTGATATTATTTTCCTAGGTGACTTCAACTTGCCTAGTCTCAGGTGGAAAATAGCAAACAATAATATTATACCAGGAAATCTATCAGGACCGAACCAACCACAGATTAGAGAACTACTTAGATTCTGTGACAAATTTTCACTCAATCAGCAGATATCGGAGCTAACGAGAAATGAAAATATTCTAGATCTGGTCTTTACGAACAATGAAGACATTATCAGAGACATTACGATATCAGATACCACATACTCAGATCACAAACTCATTGAAGTGCAAACGACCATCAATACTCAGAATAGACCTAAAACGTTGATAAAGCGAGAGGGGCTATTCAGTAAATTCAATTTTAATAATAAAAGGATAGACTGGGAGATAATAAACAGGGAACTTACAAACATTCCATGGGGAACTGTTCTAAATAATACAAGTCCTACAGAAGGAATAGAAAAACTTACTTCAGAAGCGTATCAAGTCTGTCTGAAACATGTTCCTTTGAGGAAAGCCAGAAAGAGATCTAACGTAGAAAGAGAACGCAGACGACACTATAAACGCAGGAAAAAAATAACGGAACTGCTTATGCAGACACGAATTTCCCGTCAAAGAAGGAATAATTTAAATAGGGAGATTGAAGAAATCGAGCGGAAATTGAAACACTCATATGAAACTGAAGAAAGGCAGTTAGAACAGAAAGCAATTCAGGAAATAAAGAAAAATCCAAAATATTTCTTCTCATATGCGAAATCAAAAGCAAAAACCACTGCCAGTATTGGACCTATTCGTACAAGTGAAGGTTCATACACGGAGGATGACAAAGAAATTAGTGAAATCCTAAAAAAGCAGTATGAGGACATGTTTAGCACTCCAATAAACAACATGAAGGTGGAAGATCCAGACATTTTCTTTATGCGGGATATTCAAACCCCGGTAAATATAACTGATATAAACACGAGCGCACTAAATTTTGAAAAAGAAATTGAAAACATGCCCATGCACTCGGCCCCAGGTCCAGACTCATGGAATTCAATATTTATAAAGAAATGCAAAGTGCCGGTAGCACAGGCACTCAGTATAGTGTGGAGGAAGAGCTTGGACACGGGGGAGATACCAGATGCACTTAAAGTAGCAGACATAGCCCCTCTACACAAGGGAGGGAGCAAAGCATTGGCAAAAAATTATAGACCAGTTGCACTAACATCGCACATCATAAAAGTATTTGAGAGAGTGATTAGGAGTCAGGTCACCAATTTCATGGAGACCAATGACCTTCATAACCCAGGCCAACATGGATTTCGAGCGGGAAGATCGTGCCTCTCACAGCTACTTGAGCACTACGACAAAGTCACTGAGGCATTAGAAGAGAAACAGAATGCTGATGTGATATACACGGACTTCGCAAAGGCCTTCGATAAATGTGACCATGGCGTGATAGCACACAAAATGAAGTCAATGGGAATAACCGGTAAAGTAGGACGCTGGATACTCAGTTTTCTGTCAAACAGGACTCAGCGAGTAACTGTCAACCATATAAAATCTAGTCCAAGTGCAGTGAAAAGCTCTGTACCTCAGGGTACAGTCCTTGCACCACTGCTTTTCCTTATTCTCATATCAGATATAGACAAAAATACAAGTCACAGCTTCGTATCATCCTTTGCAGATGACACAAAAATCAGTATGAAAATTACCTCGGCTGAGGACATTGAAAAACTTCAAGCTGATATTAATAAAGTTTTCGACTGGGCATCAGAAAATAACATGATGTTTAACAGTGATAAATTCCAGGTACTCAGGTACGGTAAAAATGAGGACCTTAAACATAATACAGAGTACAAAACACAATCAAATGTACCCATAGTAGGAAAACAGCATGTAAAGGATTTGGGAATAATAATGTCGGACGACCTAACGTTTAAGGAGCATAACCAAGCAAATATTGCGACAGCCAGAAAAATGATAGGATGGATTACGAGAACTTTCAAATCCAGGGATCCCATCACAATGGTTGTACTCTTCAAGGCACTTGTGCTGTCCCGTCTTGAGTACTGCTCAGTACTCACTTCCCCCTTCAAAGCAGGAGAGATTGCTGAAATAGAGGGAATACAGAGAACATATACGGCACGCATAGACGCAATAAAGCACCTAAATTATTGGGATCGTCTCAAAGCCCTCCAAATGTACTCACTAGAAAGAAGACGAGAGAGATATCAAATAATATACACCTGGAAGATACTGGAGGGCCAAGTACCAAATCTACACAGTAAAATAACAACGTACTGGAGTGAACGACATGGAAGAAAATGTAGAAGAGAACCAATGAAGAGCAGAGGTGCCATAGGCACAATCAGAGAACACTGTATAAACATCAGAGGTCCGCGGTTGTTCAACGTCCTCCCAGCAAGCATAAGAAATATTGCCGGAACAACCGTTGACATTTTCAAGAGGAAACTAGATTTATTCCTCCAAGGAGTGCCGGACCAACCG